CTAAACCCTAAACTCTAAACCCAATTTGGGTTTCCTGACTCCTTTTTGCCCTTCCTCTCTAGTCACATCCGGCACACTGCTCAGCCTATACAAAATCTGTTCTGGCGCCAGGATGCGCTGTTCTGCAACTGATCCGCAAGGCCTCATGGCCTTGATCAGGCTTTGGCACCTAAGCAAAAAGCAGGCCTCACAGGGCACAGGGCGGGAAGACTATGTATGATCTTGCTTCCGGCTTTAAAGAGTCTGCATCTATCTTAGGTTTCGTGCCTTGCAAGGGCCTGGGTTATACGAAAAGGGTAACCGATCGCGGTCTGCTCTGCCTGCAGCAATCACGGATTTCCACAAGCACATCTCTGAGCCAAAACTGGTCTTGCGGGTAAGACCACGCAAAACGCAAGCCCTCAAGGGAATGCCAGGATCCGCGTCAGCCAAAAACGCTCTTGCCGGTAAGACCAGAGTTTGGAGCGGCTGCAGCAAAATGCACGAGAACGAACAATCCGGTAAGACCAGGTGCTGAGCCCAGGCCTCATGGATTTGCGACCATGGCTCCGTACTGGAAGACGAGGAGCTCTCCTCTTTCTTCTTTTTGGTAGGTTTCTTGCTCTTCTTAGACTTGTCCTTTTTCTTAGTCTTCTTGGCGGACTCGACACTGTCAGAGGACTGGTCTTTCTTATTGGAGGCTTTTGGCTTCGGTTTGTTCTTCGGCTCTCCGTTTTTGGGCTTCTTCTCTGTGGGCTCGCCCTCGGTCCCGCCATTGTCACCGCCAACATGGAGCGGGCGCTTCTTCAGATTGTCAAGGACTTCCTTAGCATTTTTGCGGTGCAGATTACTTCCCTCTGTCGCCATGCACTTCACAACCCATTTTGTCAGTTGCTCTTCCAGACACTTGTTGTGCTTCTCTGTCAGACCAAAGCATAGGACGGGCGTTCTCGACTCCACACAGGCTCGTAGGAAATCACCCTGCCCGGGTGTGAAATCTATTGCGCAAGACGCACAGTAAGACCAGAGTGTCTCCAGATGGAATTTGATCGGCAACTTTGCGGACGGGAAGACAGACTCCACCGAGCTCGCCTCCTCGCCCACTTTCGTGTCTTGCAGAAGGCCTTTGCTGAGAATACAAATTAACACATATCTGCTAAAAACTCAATGCCGGAAAGTCGCTAATCTTCTCCTTGTCGGTCAACTTGAGGATCCCCTTCTGTCCGAGAATTTCTTCCTTTTCTTGCCTGCGCAGCAGCCATACAATTTGGCAATTGTGAAGCAATGGCTTGGATTTAAGGCTTACCTCAAGCATGGAAAATCTGGGCGTTATTCAGGCCCTGGGGGGCTTAACTCCTGGCTTAGGGACTCAGGGTTGGGGTTGAGGGGTTTTCAGGGCTGAATCCAAACCTGCTGGTCACCCACAGGTCGTCTGGTCCCACGCAGTCAACCCAACCGATGACGTCGCCCGTGTTATACCCGCTGTAGTGCTTCCTGCGTCGTTCAGGAAAGGTTTCTGGCACACACCCCTTCTGTGTGTACGCAAACACATCCGTTTGCTGGCTGTAGCCGTCGCTGGTTTTGACGCGCTTCTTGCGTTGCCTGATGCCTTCTTCATTGAAGACAACTCCGACTTTCTTCTCCCAAGCATCCGTGTTCACGACTTGCTTGCTCTTCTCCAAACGGAACATCTGCCGTGCGGATGCCAGAATGTCCTGCCGTCCACCAGAGTGGATGAGCACCAAGTCTGTGTCGCACGGCACTGGCGCTTCACCGTCATCGCTTTTCTGCTGCGCTCCGCGTGCGAGGAGAGCTCCATGAAGAAGCGACTTCCACGTGCTTACCTCGAAGGGCTTCGAACGACGCAAGCCGCGCTGTGCAAGTGGACCACCGCACGACTCACCCAGGAGGTCCATGTCCATCCACAAGCAGCAGCACCTAAGGAGATCAGATCTAGAGGCTACACATGAAAGCGTTAATGTTTCTAGTTTCTGGCCTGCGACATTAACTGCTGCTGAAAAAAATCTCAGGCGAGACACGTAGAGCCTGCCACCACCTCCACATCTTTGAGCACGGACTGTGCTACAAGCTGCATCATTTGATTTTGTGTCTCAGGTAAAACCATGAAACTGACAAAACGTCTCACCATCTCATTCGCCACCGCCAACCAGTAGGCTTCGGTCTCCTCCGTGAAACTGCTTGCTGGCTTCCGCATTTGTGCCAGGGCCGTGCCGGCGTCTGGGTCTTCCGGCGTTTCCTCGGGCTCGGTTTCGCGCCGCAGCTTGACCTTCTCCTCTGCAAGCTCGTTTGTTCTCAGCTGCTCGACTTGGCCCCACTTCTCTTTCAGGACCTCGTTTTCCATGACCTCCTCCATGCTTTTCTTTCCTCGAGCCAGCTGCTTCAGGTGATTGTCGTACTTCTTGCTGTAGACCAGATCCTGCTGTGTCTAAGAAATATTGCGCGGCTCCCTTTGGGCTCTCAGCAAAAAAATGTTCGGGTTTAGGTTTAGGGTCTAAAAGCTCATAGGGTTTAGAATGCAAGCGTTGGGGCTAACTTAGGGTTCTTTCACCCCCGACGCACCTCTAAAAATCTGAGGGCTTGCATGCTCGACTCCAGCAGCATGCCCTGCCAAGCCACGTCATCACCCAGCATTCTTTCGTTATATGTCGCATGGTCCAGCAGTGCTTCTGCAATGACGACGCGGTCCTGTTCACGGATTTGGGCTCGGGGTAAGACCACCGCCTTGAAGTGGGCCAAACACTCCAGCTTCAGTTCTGTCAGGGCAATGAAACCGCATGTATTGTGCCCGTCCCCCACCAGGAAAGTCTTGCTGACATCATCATTCTCAACCATGTTGCGGAAAATCATGTCCCGTAGAGCTTGGAAGATAAAACCCCTTTTGCCTGGAGTTGTCTTTGTTGCCAATGCGTGCAGCTTCAGCATAGAATTCAGGCAACTGCCTCGGCCATACCTGTCTTCCAAATCTCTGATTGTTGTCAGCACTTCCTCGCCTGTCAGTTTCTCAGCCACTGCAAGTGCGGTGGAGATGAGATTCGTCGACAGCTCATCCTGGCTGCTTGCTTTCTTCAGCCCCGAATCCTTGATTTGCTTTTGAAAATCTGCGTTTGACAATGCTCTGTTCGCTTCCGTCTCCAAACGCTTTTTCAGCAGCTTCATCTCTTGGGCCATCTGAAATGCTGTTCTTCCTAAGGACTCAAAATCCTGAGCGATGGCATTGCGATTGTTCCAGCTTGCGATCCACTCATCATCGGGCTCCTGCACAAAGCACAAGGGCACGGATCGCAGGGTGAGGGACCACCGATCCTTGTGCTCTGGCAGCTGCCTGGCGCATGCATGCAGCATCGAATGCACGTAGCCCTCGGGAGTCAGCGTCTGCAACGCCTGGGGGACATCCGGGACATGACCCGGGACTGGCCCAACGACTTGCAGTAGCACGCGTGCGAAACTGGGTTCTTTATCCGCAGGCCACCGGAAGTCGGCCAATTCCTGGACGGTGCGGAAGCTGAGTGGAACCCCTGGTGAAGGACTTCTTAGCACGTCCACCCACAGCAAATTGCCTGCCGCAACATACTGGCCCTGGTTGCCCATCGCACGCTCACACATCTCCTTGTTGTATGGCTCCTGCGCTGTCGAAACGTGCATGCTACTGGCATCAGGTTGATCATCGCAAAACAAGAAATCACAACCCAGGCTACAGTACTAACAACAAGAAATCGTCCTGGACTCCGCCGTCGCCATCTTTGTCTTTGGCTGCGATCTGCACTGCGACCTTCCTTCCGAAATCAGACCCCATAACCTTCAGGATTTTTTGCAGGTCTTCTTGGACATTCTTGTAGTAGTCTGCGTTGTTCACGTCCAGTGGTGCGGGAGGTGGGGCTGCTTTTTTCTTGGGGAGCTGAGCACTTGGGGCGGAAGAGGTAAGACCACCTTGGCCATGCGCCTGTTGCTTCTTCTCGGTCGCTGCTTTGGCTCTGGCCATCTTGGCGTCCCTTTCCAAATCTTCTCTTTTCTTGGTCTTCTCGCCCTGCACAGATGTACACTCAACTCTGACATCTCGGTCTGAAGCTGAGCACGAAACAAAATCAAAAAGGATACTATTTATGACAGTGAAACACTTCTCTGTTTTCCTCTGGGATTTCCTGGAACTCGCTGGAAGCCTCAAATTCCGTCAGCTTCTTCTGGATCTCTTCCTGCCACAGAGAAACCCGAAACCCTTAGACTTGTAAACCCCAAACAAATCCGACCCCAAACGCCGCAGGCACAGGACGCAGCAGTCCTTGTCTGCTGCGGTCAACCTCCAAGCACTCCAGTTCTTCGGAACCCCATCGGGAAGCACAGCGGCTTTTTTGGGAGGCATCCCTACTACAGCAGCTGGCTCGCGTTGCTCACTGTCACTTGCAAGTCTCGAGCAGGGTACGCTTCATGGTGCAGGCAGGGTTCAGGCTAAGCCGTAAAGCCTTAAAACCCTAAACCCTAAACCCTCATCCCGAGGCATGCTGCGGCACATGACGGATCACTTCACAACATCAAAACCTCAATTCCGAATCAGACTTCTTTTTACTTTCGCATCTCAGCAAAGTGCGGCAAGTAGTCTGCCTCTCTCATCTGCTCAAAATTAGCACTGAGCACACCCCAGGTAAGACCATACGAGCAGGGTGCCTTTCCAAGGTAAAACCATCAGAAAGAAGCGTGAAGTAAGACAGCAGAGAGATTGAATGTCTTGCACAGCCCCTCACGAAATCTGCCTTTTCAGTGCTGTGTCAGCTGCGTCAGCCAGGCTCGAACCCGTAGCTGTTTCCTGCCAGGGGTCAAGCTGTGTCGCGCTCTCAATGTATCCGACGCAATGCAAAGCGGCCAGGAGAACCTTGCAGAGGACGTTGATAGACATTCCATCCCCCACAGCACTTCCAAAGATCTTCTTCGAGGTTCCTCTCACCAGGGTTTTGGCGAGAGCACGGGGCAGACCTTGCAGTCTTGCTGCTTCACCCAGGTTCAAACGCCGTCTCAAACGTGGAATGTAAAAATCCAGGGGGTCCTTGTTCAGCCTCGACCTGGTGAGGCAAGGAGCCACGCCGGCTTTGAAATTTGCCCACCTGTCGCTGCAGCCCACGTCCAGCACGCAACTTTTCCTGTAGACGTCCTCGCCGAACTTGCTGGTGAACTTGGACAAATCAACGGTGTTGTCGTCACCAACCGTCTGGGTGTCCAAGAAAAACCCGAGAGCTTTCTTCGAGTGCTCGATTGGGGCTGGCCAGCGGAATTTGTGCTTCTTGTACTTCTCCTGGACTGCAACGATAAACACTCGTGGTCGACTTTGTGGTATTCCGTAGTGCATCGTGTTCAATGTCTTGCAGTAGACCTTGTATCCCAAACTTGCCAGAGTCTCTTTGATGCAGTTGGTGAGGCCAGCGTGACGTTTGTGAAGGAGCCCCTGCACATTCTCTAGTATAACTATTCGGGGCTGATGGTAGCAAACGTACAGCAGCCCGTGGTATGTCAGCTGTCCTCGAAATTCCCTGTCTCCGGCGCCTTTCCCCAGTGAACTGAAGCTAGGACACGGAAAGCCTGCGACATATATGTCGCAGGCTTTCGCCCTTTCATGATCTCTGCTGCTGACGTCTACCGGGCCTTCTGCCTCGTCTCCCGGGAACTGCAGGTACTGGCGCACCAAGTTGTGCAGTTTCCTCTTTCCTTCGTCTATCTCACTCCAACCGACCAAATGACAATGCTTCGCGAGGCCGCACAAGGTCAGCGCCACAAGATCGCAACCCATGCCAGCGCAGTCGCTGTAAAGACGCAGCCTCTTTCGCCTGGGTAAGACCACCGGCGCGGCATCTCTGCGGGCAACAACTTGCGGATCCGACACCAAGTCCTTCAGAAGTTTCTGTAACTCCTGGACAGTTCGGCCTTCCTTCACCGTCTTTGTCTCTGCTGGCGCGCGCGTTTTCGCCGCTTCAGAGACAAGGGTGCCATGGCAGCTACACTTTTCGCCCTGTCTACAACTTCCTGCAATATATCACAGTCAATGTTCCACGTACACGTCGTGCCAAAATGCGGCGAACCCTCTATAGACTCTCAATTTAAGGTTCAAGGTTCAGGGTTCTGAACCCTTCGCGGAGCCCAGGAGACGCTAATAATAAGCCCCTATAAATCAGGCCTCAGCCTAAACAGCCCTCAGCCTCAACATTATTAAATTTAAAGCCTCATCTTGCAACTCGAAACGCAAACGGCAGCCCTATAGTCGGAACCCCTGTATCACGTCACCCCGCACGCCCGTTATAACGTCACCCCGCACGCCCGTTATAACGTACGTCACCAAAGGTCACGAAACGGCGGCCCCTAATGTCCTTACGCGCCCGGCGAGCGGTCCGGCGATGCGCGGAAGCCCCGCACGCCCGTTATAACGTCACCCCGCACGCCCGTTATAACGTCACCAAAGGTCACCCCTAGTGTCCTTACGCGCCGGGC